GGGCGTCAGAGGGCAGGTGGTAGGTAGTGCTTGATGAAAAAAAACCCGCCAGCGTTACAAAGTACACCTGAGTGCCCACCCCAACCCCACCTCCCACACCCCTCCCTCTTTTTTTCCTATGTGCGTCCAAACCAGTGCATTTCTGAACGGCTACAGCTACAGCTACACGTACTAAGAAAATTACACGGGGAAGCAGATAATTCTAGCGTAATCCGTTACGCCCCAACCCACCACACTTCCGCTCGCTTGTGTCCATTTACTGGTGTTTTTAACGGACGGTTGCAAAAAGATGGAAGCACAATGTGTACTTTAAGGGGAAAGTAAGCTAAAAAATTAATACGTTTGTAAAAGTAATAACAATAATGATAATGATAATAACAATAACAACATTAACAATAATAATAATAACGATAATACTAGTTAATACTAGAATTAATACTATTGCTAGATCTATTAGCAACAACAACATAATAATAATAACAATAATAATAATAATAAATAATAATAATGAAATGATAATAATATAATATAATAATCATCATCATTCAAATAAACGTCCCCCGACCAAAAAAACACAAAAAAAACTTGGAAAATCCCATCGACCATTTTTAATTGGAGTGATCTGTTTTTACCTTTGAGGAGATGCACTCTGTCAATGAAAGCCTTCTCCTGGGAGCGGTCGGACACCTGCGCGTTCCCGAGAAGTCCACTGAATCTAGACGACATGGTGATGATAATCTTCCTCTTCCTTTTTCTCCTCCTCCTTATCTCTCACTCCCGCTGAACTTACACACAATCACTCATTTGCCCTCGACAGAATCCCCCCCTCGATGAACGAGAGGACTTGATTGTTCGGCTGGGTGCAGCCAGGGCGCACGAGAGAGTGACAGGTCGAGACCTGATGGACGGTCCACCGCCACCGCTACAGAAGAGTGGTTATCTGGTCAGTGCAGTAGCCTGACGCCTGTCCTCGACTGCTTCTCCCCCATCGACACTTCGATGGGTTGTTTATCTATCTATCCTATCACCGTGTGTCCTTTTCGTGGCCATATATGTATACACAGTTATTTGTGGGGTCAGAGGTCAACTGTGTAAGAGAAATGGCTTTGGTCTTGAACTTCAACTTGCATTATAATCCAAGGCCTTCACGCTGAAACAAAATTTCTTCTCGTCGCCGGAGTTGTAATACGATGGACTCAAATTTTCAAAGCGTGACTCAATTTAATTCGAGATCCCGGGTCGCTCACCTGTAATGAATTCCACTCTTTGATTTTTTCATTACCGCGACGGAAGTAATATAGATATCTAGATCTAGATCTAGGAGGGCAAAGGAACATCCAGGTAATCCATAAAATACACCTGAGAATTAGGACAAGCACTTTGTGATTGCTTACATCTGTCATATACGCCTCGCGAAACGAAAACAAAATAGCACACCTGAGCCGAGAGCAAGGGTCGAGAGCAGGATTATTATCGACCACAATCACAGAAAAAGACACAGTTCCATCATCACACGCACTCACTCACTCAGCCGTCACACGGGGGTCGCAGAGTCAGGTAAATCCACTGTGAGTGGTAGTGAAGATGATCACGCTATTCCGGACACAATCAGCAGATGATGACGAAAGTGGGGGAGAACGAATGAAGAGAGGCTACATTTTCCACCTCAAAAGCGAGTGGACGCACTGTTGTGAGCGCACACCCCTCCCGGCTCCAGGTATGTATGTATGTGTGTGTGGACGCGGGAAGCACAACTGCGACTGTGACAGTGGCGTCCGTTGGTGCCAGCGGTGGCGGCTTGTAGCAGCAGCAGTTTTGTAACAGAAGTATCAACAAGCCTCCTCGCATGCTCACAATGCTTCCCGAGACAACAAACCAACCCTCCCTCCTTCCCTCCACTCGGCAGGGCTAGGGCACACACTACACTGAACAACACTCACAATACTGGATCAATCAATAAAATATTCCCCGCGGAAATGCGACATTCCCATTGGTTATCTTTCTGAGGGATCTTCCATCCGTGCTTTGTGATTGGCTGTGGCCCCCGGAGAAGGGACAGCGACATCAGTTCATGGTCAGCGATCAGCGGTGAGGATCTTTTCATGATCGTTACTGAACCATACCTAAACGAATGGTCGTGGTCCACTGATATAGAGGACCCACACAAAACACACACGACTCTCCGTGGAAACGAAATACACACACGTACAGCTGGAGCGACTGTAAAACAGGAGAGCTATTACATCCAAAAGTACAACGTACCAGTATTACATCCGAGAAGCCGCGAAGAAAAAAGCAAATACGCGCGCAATAGCAGAAAGAAGAAGAACAAAACTAAAACAACGAACGAGCGTCCGGACCGACCCCTCACTCGATGTTTTCACTACACAAACCTTCCATCCGCCCCACCCGCGGAAAACGAAAGCAGCTCAACCGTGGAGACGGTGGAAAGCCTCTACTACAACAACTACGCTGATGGGGGCAGAACATAAAATAGCTCGCTTTGAGGGCAGAAGGTGACGTGAATTTAAAATCTCCTTTCACAACAGGGTGGGGGATTATGAAGGAAGGAAAGCGCGGGAGGGAGGAAGGAGGAAGAGCTAACACTTCTACAGGTCGCGGGTGTTCCCCCCTCCCTCCGCCCACGGGCCGCCTGCTCAGGTTTGCCTGACGTGGCGGGAACATTGACAGTGTCAGGACGTGACACAACGTGCGGCGCACAGAGGACGAGGAGGGAGATGTTGTCTGTCATCACATCCCGCGCTGGCTCGTCATCGTGGCCCGGACACCGCACGTTAGAAAAGGTAGGTGTGATTTTCATAGTATTACAATGAACAGAATCAACTGAAAATACCACTGGATCTACTTTGTTTGAAAGAAATAACGAACAAAACAGTTATTCGTTTGTTGACCAAAAATGACGAATTGGTTAAAAAGAAAAAAAAAGACATTTGTGAACAAAAACTAACGAATCGGTAACAAAAACTCATAAAAGAATGGCAATCGTTAGTTGATTTTAAAAATTAACGATTTTGGAAAAACAAAAAAGAAGAAGAAGAAGGAATAAAAAGAACAAAGGTGTGAGGGCCAGTGTGTGCAAGCGCGTGCATGATAAGTAAGGATGAGATCGGGGGAAAAAAGGGGGACGGG